TGTTCTTACTTGATAACTGTTCTGTCATATACAATTTGACTATGTTAAAATTAAGACCTTTCTTTTGTTTAAACAGAAAAGAGGAGATGTTGGGGAAGTCTTGTTATTTGCCTGTGCATTTGTCAATAAAGTACTGTCTGGCCAATAGAAAACCTAGATAGGAGGGACTAGGAGTCGAGGAGGATTCTGGGAAGGGGAAACACAAGAGAGTCAACATGTAACGCCATTGGCGGTAGGAAGCCTGGAACTATTCTCCGGTAAGAGACATACTTAGATTAACAATTATGGGGTAATTACTTAAGGCAGAGCTAGCCAGTAAGAGACAAGCAAGGCCAACAGCTTCATAATTGATATAGCCTCCTGTGTGTTTATTTGGGACTCATGCGGATCTGGAACCAGGCTGGCGCGGCAGAGCCTAGGCGACTGGCAGGGGATAAACCAAAGCGGCTAGCAAAAGAAAAAGCTTCTCTTAACAAGTATTTCAGCAGCTCTGGAAATAATAGCAAGAATCATGCAAGTGATACTGCATGAAACTGAAAGGCTTCTGTACGTCAAAGGAATCAGCAGAGTGAAGAGGCTGCCTACAGAAGAGATGCAAACCTGTCTGCTTTATAGTCAGCAGAGGATTAATACCTAGACTACATAAAGAACTCAGAAAAAGCTATAAACTCCACAAAGCTAAACAATCCAGTCATTTAAGTGAGCAAATAAAATACCCAGGCATTCCTAAGAAAATGAAGTATAAGTAGCTAGTAAATACATGAGCAATGTTCAATATCTTTAGCCATCATGGAAATGTGAATTAAAACTGTCGTTAAATTCAATTCCAACCTAGAGTGGCTATCATTTAAAAAGCAAGCAAACATACAAGTGATAGGAAACATGTGTGAAGAAGGAACTCCTAGTCATTCATACCTGGAGTGAATATAAACCACCATGGCCGCTATGGAAATCAGCATGGAAGTTTTACAATAAACTAAAAATATGACCCAGCTATCAGTCCTTGTCATCTAAACCCACAGGGAACACTTGACCATCCATGATTACTGTGGCATTATTCAGTTATATCTACAATAGCCAAGCTATGTAACCAGCTTAGGAGTCCAGTGGATGGATGGATAAATCTAATATGTTATGTATTTACAATAGAATTTTATTCTGTAATAAATAATGCCATTAGTTGAAGGAAATAAATGGGACTGGAGTTCATCAGATTAAGTAAAGTAAGAGTCAGGAAGGCATGTTGCATGTTTTCTCTCATTTGCTGATTATAGCACATAAAGACGCATGAAAGTTGAAGGGGAAGAGGAAGGCAGGTAGTGGCCGAGGGGAGGATGAGGAGAGGAAAATACGGGGTGTGTTCATAGTACATGACTCGCTTGAGGCAATGTCATTGTGGGGCTCACTGCTCTGTAGGCCAGAATACACCAAGAAAATAGAAATCTTTAGGATAAATATGGGTTTGCTGGAAATGTAAGGATATTTGTATTTCTAAACAAATGACCTCTAACTTTCATTGCATAGAACTTTATTATTTTTACTCCATTTGACTGCTTTAAATAATATACATTTTGTCTACAATTCTAGTGGAATAAAACATTCCTAATACCCAAACCCAAACAGCTCCCATATTCCAAACTTTCAGTTGTGAGGCTGGTGATGAGTGTTAAGATGCCTAACCGGTAGGACTGCACATGCTACAAATCTGAAACATCTCATGCTGTCCCCACAAATGTCAGATGAGAAAGTCAACATGGAGGAAGTGTCCTACATAAATTTTGTGGAAGGTGCTTCAAGAGTGCTGTTGTAGTCCATCAGTCTCATCCAAACTGTCTGAGATGGGACCAGCAAGCTGGAGGCAGACACTGTACAATGTAACACATTGAAACCACCTTAATGCACAGTTTCAGGTTTCCTGTTCCAATATTCACATAACCAAAGTGTCAGGTGAGTAATGTGAATATAACACGGTTTTCAGAAATGATTGGGTAGGAAATACTTGCTAAAAATGAAACATTTCTAGGGGCACATTGGTGGGTTTTAGTGTCATTTTAAGCGCCATGGTCACCTTTCTCACAAGCATTTTTTATTCAGAGAATGTTCTTGCAAACAAGAGAACATTTGTGGCAAAGCACTCTTGCTTTAGTTTCAAACACAGCTTCAGTTAACTCAGGAACATGGTTCTGAGCTGGAGAGATGGCTCAGTGGAGCTGTAGAACACAGAAGTGTAATATGATTTGGCTTTTGTCTTCAAACCCTAGATTGTGCTTAGATACCAGAAATCTGCTTGGCTCTACAGGAAAAGTTTGGTAAAAGAATATGCTTTTATTTACCTTAAGGTAAAATAGCTAAGATATACTTAAATACTGATTTTTAAGTGTATCTCAGCCAATGTTTTTTGATTTACCAGCATTTAGCCCTGATTGAATCAGATAATGTGGATTTTGTAAATTCTTCTGACACTGCTCACATCAACTATATGAGAAATGGAACATTTAAGAACCATCCAAGCACTTACAGATGTCAAAGCTCATCTCTAAAAACACGCCATGATGTTTACTGATGTAGATCACTTGTAGTATGGCTGTGTTTCAGCACTTTTGTTTAAAGAAGGTTTGATTGCGGGGAAAATAAAGGTGATTTATCACTAGTCATGTCTTTGGAGCTTTCTGCATTTTCTCCTTTCTTCTGCTCAGATGTTGAGGTAGCGTGGAATACAAAGCAGGGAAGACAGCTTGAGGAGGCCGAGGAAGGCTCCCAGCCAGGAGCCCTCTTCCAATACCACCTGCTCACACAGGCAAAGCTGACAGACAAAAGTGCCGTGTGAGGCATCTCTCTTTGGCATCTATTATCTAAGCAATATGTAGTCCATATATTATATATGTTATTATAAATTCACTTAAAAATCAATGTAGGTTGAAACTAGACATTTCAAACTGCAAATGGCAAGTCACATACTCCTGGTATAGTCTTGGAGAAAGCACTGAGCCTCTCAGATATTTTAAAGAGAGTCACTTTCTAGAACCGCTCTGAGAATATAAGGAGAACATGTTTGTAATATCTTATTATTTCATATGGGCATTGTTTTTATATTTTTGACCACAGTAATTTTCCACCACTATTTGACTGTTGTCTCCACCAAGCAGGAAACGCTGATGGGAGTGAGGGTGGAGGGACAAAGTGGCTCAAGGGCTCTGCCAGCTATAGGGGGTAAAGAGTGATGTCACGGCCGGATGAGCCAGGTTATATGCAGAACTTCCTACAGTCGGTCCAAACACAAAGCATTCGAGTTTGTCAAACTGGGTTACTTCGCTGTAGACCTAGGCTTTACTCAGCTCCACCAACTGATCTTGATAATGTCATAAGCGGCCACCCAGGGTCTCAATTTGTCAGTTTAGACCTCAAATTAAACCCACTCTACCCTGCCCCCACCAACTCCAATCAACCATCTGTTGATTCTAACTCCAAATGCCAATTCCCCCTTCCTTTCTTCTTGCTTCCAGGCTCATGCGTCTTTGACAGCTTCCCATTTTTTTCGTTGTTATTTGTTTATTTTGTTTTGTAACAAATGCCTAAATGTAGTTGTCCCTCTTCCTTGTCTTTCTCCCTCTAATCTGCTCATGCTGATAGAGTGATCCTAAAAATGCATGGTTGACTGATAGAGCATCTCTTTCCTGTTTAATCTCCCTGAAAAATGGTCTTTAGCGTAGAACTCTGCTTGCTTATATAGCATCCAAGATTGCTGGAGTTGCCATCTGTTAAATGATAGAACAGTGCCCTATACTGTAAGCATGTACAAGGGTCTGCTACTTATTTTTAAACAGCTTAGTATTCTCCACTCTCACTGTAGGAAAGGGTGAGCCCTCTGGTAACTGCTCTCATACTTTCCCAAGCACATTGTGCTTCTCTCTCTCTCTCTCTCTCTCTCTCTCTCTCTCTCTCTCTCTCTCTCTCTCTCTCTCTCTCTCTCTCTCTCTCACACACACACACACACACAGACACACACACACTGAGTTCCAGTTTTTAGATGACCTGGTTGCTCCCATTTCGGTGTGAATTCCGATTCTGTACAGTCTGTCTTCCCCAGACCATCCTTAATTTCGTTCAACTCTGTGTAAGCTCTAGATGCCTGCACTTCTTCTTCAGTTGCAACCGCCACAGTGGACTGCATTTTGCTTAAATTTTGCTTCGCCCTAACAGGTGGTAAACTTGTCGAATGAAGGGATGCTATTTCACATATTTCAAGCTCCCGACTAAAGGCACAAAGAGCACCTCCTTAAGTATTTGTTAAGTAGGTCGTTTGCTGTTTTGTTTTAGACAGGGTCTTTCTATATTAGCCCTGGATGTCGTGGAACTCACTATGTAGAACAAGCTAGTTTCAAACTCACAGATATTCCCCGGCCTCTGCTAAAATTAAAGGTGTGCGCTGTCATATCTGGCAAGTCTTTAAAAAACATACGGAAACAAACCCCCAAACACATGGAAGGTATATATCACAACTTCCTAAAAGTATAATTAGGAATATTTTATGATGAAGAAAGAAATTCTCATTTAAGCAGAAAGGTTAAGTTTTTTTGACAGTCCGGAGAGTATCAGTTGATTTTGTAATAGACCATGGCACAGCAGATAAGAGTATTCGGTTTAAGGAAGCTGGCCTTTAACCAGTGATATCTTATGGTTTCTTGAGGGTAACCAATGTGTCACCTTCTTTTCCACATCGGGGTCAAGTGGGGAAATTTTTATTTCACTTCGTACATTTTCCTGTTGCCTCGATAAAGATGACTGTCCGAAGGTCCTTCAGCTGCGAGATAGCCTCTCCTGTTAGTGTCCACCTCGCTAAGCGTCTAAGCGCCGGGGCACTAGCATCACCTTGCCCAGCACTTGCGGGGGCCCAGTGCCCGCTCGTTCGCCCCTCCCGGCGGTCACGTGTGCGAGGATGCTAAGCCCGCTCGCCATCCTCCCGCCGACCCGCTCCTCCTCCTCCCGCAGAGACTGTGCACCACAGACGGCGCGAGGGGGAGCGAGCGAGCGGGCGCGGCCGGGTTCCGCAGCCCTGGCGCCCGCCGCCGCCCGCAGCCCCGCAATATGCCTCCGTGGCCCGCTGGCTCTCCGCCATGGCGAGGCTCTGCCGGCGCATCCCCTGCGCCTTGCTCCTCGGCCTGGCCGCGATGCTGCTGAAGGCTCGGTTGGTACCCGCGGCCACCAGAGCCGAACTCAGTCGCTCCGACCTCAGCCTCATCCAGCAGCAGCAGCAGCAACAGCAAAAGCAGCGGGAGGAGGCGGAAGAGGAGAGGCCAGAGGTGCCTGGGGCATCCTCTACTTCGGCGGTTCCAGGTAGGATTCAGCAGCCCGGCCCTGCTGTGCCAGGGATCTCGTCTGGCTTCGCCGGATTCTTAGCACCTTCCCCATGTCCCCCTTGCTTATTCTTGCCGGTCCCTATCCCTCTGCGGCGTCTTCCCAGGTTGCGGGTTCGGCCTTTGGTCCTTTGCTCGGGTGGGAAATCTTCCCCGCAGAGCACTGCAGTGGGCTTGAGAAGGGTTGGGGACCGTAAAGGGGGAGGCGGGGAGTCAAGGTGCCTGCTTCCACTGATCTTTTTATTTTTATTTTCCCTCCCTCTACACCACACACACACACACACACACACACACACACACACACGCACGCACGCACACACACACACACACACGCGTGCACACACACACACACACACACACACACACACGCGCGCGCGCGCGCACACACACTCAGGTTCTTATATCCCTTTAGCATTATGTTCTCTAGCCTCTCCTAGATACTGAGCAGTTTGATATACACCCACACTGCTTTTGCACTGTTTCTCCCTGCCTGCTGTACTTAAATTTAGAACTGGAGAAAGAAATCTCCATTTATTTCATTATATTCCTCTTTTTATCCCAAGAAAGGTTTAAGGCGGCTTGCAAAAAAGGAAAAAATGCATTTGACACAATAAGATGAAAGAAAAACAATGGAACAGGAGTTTGTAGTTGAAGGAAGGGACTAGGGAGGGAGACAGATGGGTAAGCATGGAGTGACGCTTAGGTAGCATCGCCTGCCCCTCCCCCTGAGGGGAATCTCCTTGTAGTGGAACTTAAATGAGCCTTCTCTTGACACATTAGGTAGGAGTGATGAAATATGGGTGTAATATATATGACCATTCAGCTTCCTGTTTTCTGTCTCCCCTATTGCCCCTCTCCTGGGTAAGCAAAGAGCTAGGCTATCCATTTAAATAGCCTCTACCCCGCCCCCAAGCCAGTTACCTTCTACACTGTAGATTCTGCCTGGGCTTTGGGAAGGAAAGGGGATTTTTTTTTTAAGCCACCAATTTTCTGGCTAGTGGGCTGAGGTTTCACAAACCACAGATGAGAGTTATTATAACACTGATTTTTGTTTTAAGATCTGCCTAGTAACATTATAGAAGATGCTGAGAGTGAAATTGTGTAGATTGGAATCAGCATCTTAGTTTATCTTGCTTGCTCATCATCAGAGAGCAGTTTGGAGTCACGCCAGCTGTGATTCATGACACAGCCCCGATGATTTAATTTCTTGGAGGGCTTTGAGCAGAGGATGAAATCACCACAGTGCGCAGGAGAAAGCCTGTGTTCCCCACACCTTTTTAAACTGATTAATAGTACTCAGAGGTGGCTAACATAGAAAGATAGGCAGTGTGTTTGGATCTTACTCAGGTTTTAGTATTTGAAAGTGCTAACACCGTGGAGTGCATGAAGCTGATGTTAGGGTAAATCTGGAGAAGTTGGAGGTAGTGTTTTCATTACAAGAGAGATTTCTAACATTAGCAGAGCAATAGGAGTCTGGGAGAGTGCTGGTCAGTTTTGTGGTTTCTGGTATTTTGGTCTTTTGGGAATATTAGTGAAATGGGTTTGGTTACCAGAGTATAATATGGTCTGATGAGGGTTATGAATAACTGTAATAATTTGAAACCTTTGTATTTAGAGTGAAAGTTAAACTATTCATTTTCTGGTATTTATGAGGGATATTTGGAAAAGGACGATTATTTAGAAATCTAGCCATCCCTGCTTTATTTAGCTTAATTGAGATAAAGAATCTGCTGTCCAGCAGCTCACATTGAGCTCTGAAGAGGAGCATGGCTCTTGTGTCTTTCTCAAACTCTCTAACCCCCAGTATAGCCATAAACAAGGACAACCCAGGAGATTACATCCGTGAGATAGTATTGACACAGCCCATACCCAAATAAAGTTAAAATGTCCTCTCCACAGTGAATGGGTCTTATTTCAACCTTTGTCCCTCATGCAGATAGACATTTCTATAAAAATATTAAGTGGGAGGATGGCTTATGCTCAGATCTTACAATTGTGTGGAGGGATCTGGCCCCTCTGATTTCTTCCTCTTTGTCCTGACCCTCTCCTTGGTAGCCACAATGTTTTTCCATTTGCAGTGGGCCCGGGTGCCAGACTTCTGCGCTTCTTTTCTCTGCATGGAGTTCTGAAACTTAAGTGGCTGGGTGTGCATGCTAACTCTGAATCTACAGCCTCTTCTACCTTGGTTGGTCCCCACTCCCACACCTACTGTTTTTTAAAAAGCATTTCTTTATCTGTGTTTTGCATGCATGTCTATGGGTGTGGAGGTGTAGGTGGGGAGGTAAGAGCCGGTTTTCCTTCCACCACATGGGCCCTGGGGCTTGTCATCACGCTTGGTAACAATCTCTTGACCTGCAGTGCTATCTCACAGGCCTTCTTCAGTAACCCACGAGGGCATAGACTTTGTTGTGGTCACTGCTGTACTTCTGTCACACAGAGATCACTTGGTGTGTCTAGATACTCATCTGTTTGTTGGATGAATGAGTGAAGAGTTGGATGAAGATGCTGGCATCAGGGAATACTCGTTCCCCAAGTGTTTGCTAAATATTTAATATCTTGTGAAATTCTTCATTAGAATTTGTATGAAAATAAAATGTTACATGGAAAGACTTATGAGTATAGATGATAAAGTATCTATCTTGGATCTTTAATGTTAGCTGATTCCAGTGTTCATTTTAGGTTGTCTATACAGAACCAGTTGATACTGATACTTGAGGCAATTACTAGGTTCTGTCAAGAAGATTCTTAACCTCAGTGCACTTGTAATCCCCTGTGACCTAGGCAGGTATTAATGTATTACACCTTTAAATAGTCATGGCTGAGCCTGATTTGCTCTCTGTGTGGCACTTCTCATGCCTTGGACCCGGAATGGGAAAACTATGGAATTTTTTTTAGGCATGATTTAGAAAACTGTGACACATTGAGTGGTGTATGACTGAGCAAAGAATCTGACCATCAGCCTCAGCGGTTATTCTCTGCAGTTTTCATTCTCCTGAAAATTTCTCTGTGTTGTTGAGAAACAAAAGAAAGGCTAAAAAAGAAACCAGAAATACATTACTCTTTAAAATCAGGATTTAAAAGAACATGCTTCTATTTTCTCACTAAGTTATGGAATATTGCCTTTAGAGAGTGCTGAGAAGAAAGGTCAAATTTGGGATCTGTCAGGTCCCTTTGTTTCTCTAGCACGTGCAGAAGTCCTGATCTCCCCATCTGTGCCGGTCGTTGCTAGAAATAGATATTTGAGGGGCTAGCAAAGAATTAATTTGGGAGCTGGTGGTAGTTGAATCAGCCATATCATATTCACTCTGATGGCCCATTAGGTAGGAGACATGTGGAGCTGGATGCAAGGGGAGCTGAAAAAATAATGAGTGGCATTAAAATTCCCCATGAGTAGCACACTCGCAAGGTTCTCCATGCCGTTCTACAAGCATCTTTTACACATAGAGTCCTGAAAAGCGTAATTTTTATGGTCTTAAAATTTTTAATCACGTGAATATATATAATTTTGGAAAATGTTAAATAAATATAAAATAAACAGCATGATAGATGATACCAGTCACTTAGTTTCACAGTTCTGCCATTACGGTTTCACTCACTCACATATCCAACCGTTTCTAGTATGTGTGCTGCTGAAGTGAGCACCGCATCCAACCATTTCTAATTCATGGCTTTTTTTTGGGGTGCAGTTCTTTTTTTGTGGTGGTATGCACACATATGTAAATGTACATGTTACTACATTATTTTGATAGATAGGTGTTTACATATAACCAGTACCTCTCTGGACGTGCAATGTTTATATCATGGTGGAAAGTTCTCCTTCACCCCCTTCCCAGGCTTTCCCTACCCTTAACCCAGAGTTCTGTGCTGTTTTCATTCTAGCCTATTTATACATCTTTTAGAACTTCACATGTGGATTCCCTTATCATTTGACCTTTTGTGCTATTGACTTTACTAATTTTCTAGCACATTAGTAGTTTACTTTTCTTTACTGATGAGTAATCTTCCATTTTGGGAATTGCACCAGTTTAGTTTATTGCTTCTGTTGTTGTGATTATTTAGATGGTCTTTGGTGATAGAGGCTGCTACATCCTTAAGTCTGTGTGAGAACATCCTTTTTATGTATCCGAATAAATGCCTAGGGATAGAATTGCTAGGTTAGGGGGGTATACTTAATAATTGAATATTACCCAATATTCTGAGTAGCTGGGACTTTATCATTTAATCCAATGATTAATCAAATTACAGAATTACTTATGCTTTCTCATGACTTGAAATGATTTTTGTGTGAAAAATGCATGGTGCCTATCACCAGTACTCAGGATGGCATTCTGATACACACCATGAAACAGTTACAGTAGTAAAGCACAGTAGCATGTCCATCTTCCTTAGCAAATTTCCAACATACAATTCAACACTGTAACTCTCCTCCTCATTTCCTACATTTGATATGCTTACTTAGTCTATATATTTGCAACTTTGTGCCCTGTTCTGTGCCTTTCTTTTGTCAGGTAGTCATTATTTTCTTCCCCATTTGAATCTCCCATCTGTGAAACGTGTTTGTTTACTTTTTGTGACTAAGGAATTTGAAAAATCAGTAGGAAAAGTAAGGTTAGAAATTATTCCGTTTGGAAGTCCTTATGCTTTACAGGCCATAGTCCCAGATGGGTGATTATGATTTCTTTCCAGGATTTTAATACCCAAAGGGAACATTTAGTGCATGCTGATTACAGGTTGAAAATACACATGTCATTGTGTTGCATTTGAGTCCAGTTGGTTTTGGTGGTTTTCACGACGTTCTTAATGTGACTTAGTAGAAACTGTACCAAATATTTTTCTGAAACAAAACTCTTCCTTCAAGAATATAAATATTGAACTTGATTCTCTTTCAAAGTTCTGTCTGACTGGGTCAACCACAGTATTATTGTCATTCATTTGCTTGGCCTAGTGTAATGTTTAATTTTCTTTTGTACAAATTGCCTT